CGGGAACTCATCGGCAGTCTCCGGGATGTAGCGGGACAAGGTTTGGTCTAGGTTCCCTTGGATTTTGACGAAACTTAGCTAGCGCGCGCCAGCTTTACGGATACTATCGTAAAGGGGGGGGATTGCTTGGGCCCACCCGCTCGCTCTCTCTCTCCCTCTTTTCCCCCTTTTGTTCCCCCCTCTCTCTCCAGTCTTCCATAACTTGTATACTGTGTATTTCTCTCCCCCCTTTTTTTATTTTTGTAATTGTTCCTATGCATATATAGCAGCCTTATTCCCGGAGGAGTTGTGAGTACATTTTGCTGGCTGCCTAAGCGCAATCACCGAGATTCAGATCTTGTGAAAGCGAACGTGGTCTTCTGCTATGGCGGACAGGGAGTTCACAACTGGAGCGGAGGAGGACCTGCCAATCACGCCAGAACCTGAGGAAGAGATCTCGGCGGAAGAAGTGGTATATGGTCCAGATTCCCCTCTCTGTGTGTGTGATTGGGGTACGGCTGCCTGTGTTGGTCTGTGAATGGATGTGGCTGTTTTGCAGGATTATAACCCCTCTGATGAGCCGGTTGAGTGGCAACGGCCAAAAAGCTTTTAGGGGAGCCACACCCCTCCTGCCAGTGCAGCGATGTTTTATCCATGAAGTACGACCGGGCCCCCATGTGCTTCATTCCCAGGCGTTCTGCTGAGTCGGATCCCACTGCTCGCTGCCCAGGCATCTGGATATAATATTGATTGCATAATCGGAATTATCTTCTTTGGTTATGAAGCTACGATTGTTGATGGATGAATACTTCCGAAATCGGGAGGCCTTTCTTCGATTGTCTCCCTGAAGCCCACTTGTCAAGCCCTGAGTGATTACCCTGCCTGGATTCTGGTGTCACAATCCTGCTCCTTCACTTCGCAAATCTAGCCATTCTCCCTTCCCTATTCCTATGAGTGACAGAGAATTTCATTATTGGAATATTTATGAGACCTATACAAACAAAAAGAGAAGCTACATCGGCAGAAAAGAATAGAAAACGTAGTGCACCTAAATAGATAAATAGCAGTATTAATACGGAAGTGTTTCGACTCTCGAGCATCCCAAACCCAAAAGGTTCCCCACATAGGTTTTCCCCAAAAACTTCCAGCGTGACCTCCTCTGTATGAATGGCCTATCGTCCCCATTGGCCTCTCTGCCTCGGTCATATGGAATCCCTGTACGATGAACCCGTTACTTCTGATTGCAGCCTCGTACATGCAAATAATTATTATTATCCTGAACTGCATGCTGCCGGTTTATCTTGAAGCCGGTTTATCTTGAATGAATACTGCTCCTAATCTACCCTGCTCATCGTATCCCCGGTTTCTGAATGTGCAAGGTGGTACCAATCAGCCTTCCCCCTGGTCTGAACGGACTATGGTTCCTGATTGCCTCCCTGTATCCTGCTATATCCCTGGTTATCCTATCCAGTGATCCTGTCAGGTTCCACCGCCCTGCTTGTCTTGAATGATGAGAATCGATCCGCATGTACACTGTTGCCATCCTGTCATTTTCGCATAAGGGGACATCGGGCGTGGTGGCTATGGAGACGGTATGATTCGGACATGACCGGACCTCGCGTACCACCATACTGGTGGAGTGCATGACGGACACGTCATGGTATTATCTAAGACACACACACACACACACACAATAAAAAAAAAAAA